CAAAAATTTGGAAAAATCTCACAGATAAAATGTGTGGTTTAATTCACCTCACATTGGCAAAATTATAGATAGCTAAGTAGTGAAATAGAGCAAATGAAACAAAAAATTAGAAGATATAAGTAAATATTAATTAAATGTTTAGCTATACAAATACTTCTTGCATAATAATAATGAAAGAACTCTTAGAGGCAAGAACTTAATATTGCCACATAAAAATGTAAAACTTTTGGCCGGGCGCGGTGACTCAAGCTTGTAATCCCAGCACTTTGGGAGGCGGAGGTGGGTGGATCACGAGGTCAAGAGATCGAGACCATCCTGGTCAATATGGTGAAAACCCGTCTCTACTAAAAATACAAAAGATTAGCTGGGCATGGTGGTGCATGCCTGTAATCCCAGCAACTCGGGAGGCTGAGGCAGGAGAATTGCCTGAACCCAGGAGGCAGAGGTTGCAGTGAGCCGAGTTTGCGCCATTGCACTCCAGCCTGTGTAACGAGCGAAAACTCTGTCTCAAAAAAAAAAAAAAGTAAAACTTTTTATAATCCAAACATATAAAATTAAAAGCCAAAAAATTTAATTGAGTGATGTTGTAACAAATACAACGGAAAGGGTAAAGTTCTTACCAGGTAAAATCCTCTTTTGGGTGCACCAGAAAACCCGAGCATGTATCTTATTCTTGTTCTTACCACATTATTTTATAATTACTGTTTTTGTATTAGTCTCACTTGGGGTTGGATATGTGTGTGTATACCTTTTACATATTGTATTTTCAGGGACAAACACAGAGTATTCCAGAAGGCATTTTGTAAATGTTTGAGTATGAACAAATTGGATTCTGGGGCTGTTATTTTACTGTGGTCTGAAATGCTGACAATTGCATTTGTCAATCGATGAAGGAAATTTGAGAAGGGGGAGAAAATGTTCAGTTAAGTTATTGTGCAAATGCAGCATACATTAACTTTCTTGGTGCAAAATATTTTAGAAGATGAAATGTATATTCCAATAAAATTTTTGCTGGCTATTGAAGTTATATTACAAAATGCAACTATCACACATTGTTAGTTTATATGAATCAATTACAGGGAGATCTTTTTGGTGCCATTTAAAATTTTTCCTCCTTCCAATTGCTGAAGCTCTACCTTCATTCCTCCTGTCTTAATTTTACTGCTCCCTTCTCTTCATCTCTTTCTTTTTCTGTTCTCCCTTCCTTTCTTTTCCTTTCTCTACCATCTTACCCACAGCAGCTCAGTGAAAGAGTAAAGTTTTTGAGTTTCATTTATGCCTTTCCCTGTTTTGCCATAAAAATCAACCAAGGAAGCCTTCAGATAGTACCAGTATGTTGAGAGAAATAAGCTTTCATGGCAGCTCTTGGTGATGAGGTATAAAGTAAAGGGAAGTATGCTATATGGAATGTTGACCCTTCAGGGCTTTTAAGTGCACATTATGTGGTCTGGATGGTAAACTGAGCGAGTTTCCTATTAGCTACTGGAAATGACAGTGTTTATAAATTTCAGAATGACGTTTGTATCTGTCAGGCTTTACCTTTTATTGCACTGAATGCACTTACTATATTTTAATATTTTTCTAGAGCTGCTTTATGCTACGGGAAATAATAGTTGAAAATTTGAAAACCTGGCCGGGCGCGGTGGCTCACGCCTGTAATCCCACCACTTTGGGAGGCCGAGGTGGGTGGATAATGAGGTCAAGAGATCAAGACCATCCTGGTCAACAAGGTGAAACCCCGTCTCTACTAAAATACAAAAAAATTAGCTGGGCATGGTGGCGTGTGCCCGTAATCCCAGCTACTTGGGACGCTGAGGCAGGAGAATTGCCTGAACACAGGAGGCGGAGGTTGCGGTGAGCCGAGATCGCGCCATTGCACTCCAGCCTGGGTAACAAGAGCGAAACTCCATCCCCCACAAAAAAAAAAAAAAAAGAAAAAAGAAAATTTGAAAACCTTAGAAATTAGATGATTTTTATTTTACCTTATCTTTTGTATTAGTTATAATCGTGATTTTATATTTGTAAGTCACTCTCCCAAAGCACAGGAGAAGAAAACAGATTTTTCTTCCCTGATTTTCTCACTGAGAAGAATTTCTTATCTACTTAAAAATACTTTTTTTTAAACAATAAAAGTGGCTCTATTTAAGCCTATTACTTTAAAAAATCAGAAAGTATTTATTTGTTAACACTTGTTTCTGTAGTCTTTGAAATTTTTATTCCCCCCCAGTGTATATTAGCAACAATGGGAGAAATGAAGGATAACCTAGAATTACATCCCCAGTGCCAGATATACTATTATTTGTGATTCATGTTAGTTCTGTGATACATATATGTGTTTGTAACTTAACATTATAATAATAATGGTATAGATTTAGTTTTCTTTAAAACTGGAATTGTGTCATTTATTTTGTGATTCCTGTTTATTAAATCAAAATCAGCGAAACTGTTTCATCAACATTTTTCTTTTCAACCATTTTAGTAAATTTTAGGAAGTGAAAGTGGACTGTAATACCAATCATAAAGCTAGTAAAAGCTCTTCCAAAACAAACATACAAACCCCTAAAGTATGGGTGTGGACCTTCATTATCTTTTCTGAGTGTTGTGCCTTTAATGTGTTTGAGTCTCTCTGAGATGCATAATACGTGATATTTGTTTGAGTTTCAGCCGGAACATAGTAGTGATTTTTCTCCATTATAGACTTTGCACATAATGAATTTCAGGAAATACACAACAGCTTCTTCCGCTTGTAGATAAAGACAGTAATATGATGGAGTGATCAAATACAAATGCTCCTTTAATTTATTTTACCAAGACATTTATCCATGTTTTATTTATAAGGCAATTGAAGTCATTCATTTTGTATGGAACTCTTTCTCTTCTGAATAACAAATAATATATTATCATATATAGCGCTTTCGGGGAGGGAGTGATGAAAGCCATACTTGCAAATAAAAGTTTAATATTTTGGGCTCATTGGGCACAATTATAGTGGTACTATCTTTGTTTTCAACGGAATCATAATTGTGTGTGCAGATTTTTAAAAAACCAGGATGGCATGCAGCACAGAGTAGCATGGAAAACAGAATATCCTTTGTTCAAGGAAAGTGGTTTTTTCCCCCCCCCGAGTTTAAGAGCATTTTAAATGCTCTTCATCTGTCTCGGAAATATCCCTGTGAAAGATCTTTGCAAACACAGGATGTAAAACGCCTTCATTCCATGGGTGACTAGTATTAAATGGGAGCCCACATTCCCAAGAATCTCCGATATGACCATATGAAAACCATGACCAACTGGTTTGTTTTTAACTCTTACCATGTATGAACCCATTTGAATGGCGTTGACAATATTTCAGTCCACTGTCATTTAACTCACCGCCTTGTGTTTGCTGTTGCCTGATGCCAGTAAGAAATACATCGAAAGCTGTAGTAGAATGATAATCATTATTTGCCCTGAGTTAAAATTCTAGCTAATGGATATGATGTGCCCATAGCTTCATACTGCTTGAGACTACCCACTTCTAGGATGTTTTAGAATAAAAGATCAGACCAGAAAGAAAATTTTAAAGTTCAGGATCTCATAGAATAAATGGCAGATAATTAATGAAGTAGCTCTGTTAAAGCAGATTCTTTATTTTAAATTCAGTAAGGATTTAAATATGTTAATGGTTAATAGCTTCCTATAAATTGGTTTGGGGAGGCCCATGTAACATTGAAGTCATAGTTTACTGCCATCTTTTTCCAAAGTATGGCCTCAGGTGTTTGGGATATATATGATCTAATCTGAAAATTAAGAGTATATGTACCTTTCAATTCTTACTATGTGTTTCAACAGCGAGCTCTTCCTTAGCACTTTGAATGTATCTGGCTTGTAAAGCACTGTTTTAAGAATATCTCTTATATAGAGATCAAAGCATATCTGATTATTATGAAGATACTAGGTTGTGATCATTTTAATATCCAGTTTGTCTTTCACAAAGTTACTCTATTGTCATTGCATTTGAAATCCTTTCTGTACAAAGAGCCCTTGTAATACATCTTTTAAGTAACATTTAGCTTACTTGAATTGTCTCCCATAGTGTAAGAGCCATGGTTCTTGGAGCGCTTCATAGTGTCCCTGCAGGGGTGGAAGATGTGGGATTTTGGATGGAGGAAAATGTGGCTCCTGATACTGTGTTTGCTGAATTATTAATATCACTGAACTGCCCTTTTGTTTCTCAGAATAGCCACTGATGGTAGGCTAATATTTCTAAGGTCAAACTGATTGCTAGAAATTATTCCTATTGAGACCAACTAGGCCATCTCAACCTTTACTTAGGTTTTATTGTAATTTCCAAGTAAGCATAATAAGCTAGTGTTGTTTCCTAACTTTTGTGTGTGCATTTCAGAACAGAACAATTGCATATGTTTCTTGGCAGATTCTTTTTCATGTTGGAGTTTATGCTGGACTTTGTGAGACTGCTTCAGAGCATTTCTTCTTCCCATCTTCTGTCTTTCCAAAATTGAGTTTTTAACAGTTTTTTTAGTCATGGACCCCTTTTGATCTCTCAGAATAATGCTTTCTACTGTATTAAGGAATGCAAAGAGTATAAAAGGAAATCCACTATATTGAAATACAGATATAATAAATAAGATTTAGTGGCAAATCTAACAATACTGTAATTTCAAATTAGTTATGAGTATAGGTATAATTTTGAGATGCCTGAAATACCTGTAATATGGTGTGAAAGTATTTGTCACACTTTGTTGGTGACAGAGTTGCAGGTATGTTAATAGTATTGTAGTTGTCTGTAATCATAGTTGAAGGAAATGCTGAATTTCAGTAGAGTTTGGTGAAATAAAAGATACGTATTTTCCCCCTCCAAGTTCATGCCTTTTTTGGATTCTATCCATGGGTTCCAGATTAAGAAGGATTTTTCTAAAGGGAATCCTGCTTGTCTGATTACTATTTCTCTCAAGCCAATATTCCAGAGACAGACTGCTGTTTCTTTTTCTTTCCTGAAGGGCTGAGTTCCCAAACATTAGTGACAAAGCCTATAATGCTGCCAAGGCTCCACTGTCCTTTGCTTCTTCTGCCAGCGAAGACACATGGTTGGTACATTATTTTCTTTTCCCCAGATAATTGGCCCTTCCTTCCTTCCTTCCTTCCTTCCTTCCTTCCTTCCTTCCTTCCTTCCTTCCTTCCTTCCTCCCTCCCTCCCTCCCTCCCTCCCTCCCTCCCTCCCTCCTTCCTTCCTTCTTTCTTTCGAGATGGCGTTTCGCTCTTGTTACACAGGCTGGAGTGCACTGGCGCGATCTCGGCTCACCGTAACCTCCGCCTCCTGGGTTCAGGCAATTCTCCTGCCTCAGCCTCCTGAGTAGCTGGGATTACAGGCACGCGCCACCATGCCCAGCTAATTTTTTGTAGTTTTAGTAGAGACGGGGTTTCACCATGTTGACCAGGTTGGTCTCGATTTCTCGACCTCGTGATCCACCCGCCTTGGCCTCCCAAAGTGCTGGGATTATAGGCTTGAGCCACTGCGCCCGGCGGCTCTTTCTTTTTTGAGAGACTAAAACAATATTGTTACCAGGCTCTTGAGAAATTCTTATTTCTTTGGAATGGTATAATCCAAAGGATGAATCAGTTTTCCAGAAATCCCTAGTCCTTTTCTTTCTAATATGCTTAAATAAGTTAATCTTATTTGTGAATCTTGATGATTCTTTCATTATCCAAGTTGACGTCAGGTTAGGAATTTGCGATATAGGACCGCTAATTTCAAATTGGTTTGCAGAGAATTCTTTAAAACAACAATGGCAACACACAATGGGTAAAGATTTTGTAAAACTTTACCCATTGATCTTACATTCTGTTGCTCAAGTGAGACGATTACCAGGATGTAACTTCTTGAAGCCAACAAATTTTTCGTGACTACCTAGTTTAGCACATAGATTTGCAAAGGCATTTCGTGCCCCTGGGCCCAGTAGAGAGAATCAGCAGTAAGAATATAATGACTTTACTCTTACTGTAGAAACATAATCAAAACTATATATAGATTCTAATAGAAAAGGGGGCAAAGTTACAAAGGGATAATAACTATAATACCACTCCTGTTAACTGTATTTTTCTTACATCAAACTGTGGTTGTTTTAAAATAATAGGCATTTAGCCGGGCCAGGCGGTTCATGCCTGTAATACCAGCACTTTGGGGGGCCAATGTAGCTGGATCACCTGAGGTCAGGAGTTTGAGACCAGAGTGACCAACATGGTGAGACCCTGTCTCTACTGAAAATACAAAAATTAGCCGAGCTTGGTGGTGGGCGCCTATAATCCCAGCTACTTGGGAGTCTGAGGGAGAGGAATCACTTGAACCCGGGAGGCAGAAGTTGCAGAGAGCTGAGATTATGCCATTTCACTCCAGCTTGGGCTACAGGAACGAAACTCTATCTCCAAAAAAATAATTAAATAAACGTATGTATTTAAATCATCCAGTTGATGGGCCTTCAGGTGGTTAACTGAAGACTAGAGTATACAGTTAGAAATTTTTATCTGATTTATCTGAACCTGGGATCTTCCTATGGTGTGTCTGTTGTTTCTACACTCAGAGCAATAGGTAGAGGAATAATAAGAAAAATAATGTGGCTAGAAACTAGTTAGAGTAAATTTCAAGTTGTATAGAAGAAAAAAATTGTGTTTAGTTAACACAGTAGGTTTCAGTTCATTTTGTGATGCATGGAAAATGTAAATTACATTGAAAATATAGCTGTAATTGAAAGAGTTCTGTTTTTAGGCTACTATATGAAGCCCTACAAAACAGTCTGCAGTATTCCCAAATAAAATACAAGATTGATTCTCAGGAATCGTTCTTGTTTTTAGCCAAAATAGTTTGTGTGTGAGGGTGTGATGTGGTAGGGCGATATTTACTGTTCATGCTCACTTCCTTTTTATACTTTGTCAGACATCTTTGAATGTATCAGTCATTCTTGAACTTTATTTGCATCAGAATCACCTGAAAGTCTTGTTAAAACACAGACTGCTGGGTACCACCCCCAGATTTCTGATTCATCAGGTCAAGAGTGGGACCCAATAATTTGCATTTCCAAGAAGTTAGGGACCATACTTTGATAACCACTGCACTATATTGTCAATTTAATTTTTCCCAGCAGTAGTGAAGACTCACCTGACAGTCTTTGGCTTAATGACAGATGGTATCTATGTGACATGATACAATTTTCTCATTGTATTAAAAACAAGAGGGAGCAGTTTCCTAGTTGAAAGAAGCTGTATAATAAACATAAACGGAGCTCTGAGCCTTGATCTCAGGAACATTCCAAGTCCTTTAGATTGGAGAGAGATTTCTTTATAGTCTAAGGAAATATAGGGGTCAATGAGATGTTAATATTTTTAATTGTCTGTTTAAATGCTAATTTTACAATTAAACTTTAGTGCTACATCAGTGATTGTGATTTTTGAATTTGGCGTTAGTGATCGCTTAATAGGAACTATATAAATCTACTGCTATATATATTTTTTCTGGTGACTGATCATTGTATTCTCTTCAGATTGTTGTCACTATTAGTTGGTTTCTGCAAACTTAAAATGGGGAAAGGCTTTCAAGTTATCCTCTCTGGTCTTTTATATATTGATTCATTTAAATACTGGGTTACCGTATAATATTTTAAGTCAAACAGGAAATGTGAAAGTGCTCAGAGTGAGAGAGTATATTAAGCATTCCCTGTATATCCTGCTTAATTTTCTGTAAACCTAAAACTGCTCTAAAAGATAAAGTCAATTAATTTAAAAAAAAGTATTCAGAGCCAATACATTTGTCTGAAAAAAAGAGATGAGAAAATGTACATAAGTTTGGAGAAGAAAGATCCTGAATGTGCAAGGGTTTTTTCTTCTTCTTCTTCTTCTTGTTAAATCTCTCTTCATTTATACATCCAAACATCAACGGATGTATGATTTAGCATTTGCCCTGCACCTCTGGCTCTAGGGACCATGGAGTTTTTGTATATGGATACTCTGCTGCAGTGAACTCTTGTCATTGTTCTGAACAGCTGGGAATGGAGTAGAGCTCATTAAGACAGGAGATGTTATCCAAGCCTCCCCTGGCATCCTGAAGAGTAGTGGATATGTTTTGCTTCCTGAGATCTAAAGTATCCATTTCATTACCACCTAGTGTTCTCTTGCTTTTATTGAAAAAAACTATTGGCCCCATTGCCTCTTTGAATGATGTGCACAGTTTATGCCAGCTGTTCCCTTTTTAAATCCTTTTCTCCTCCTTCTTTGCCTTTTTATTCTGTTGAGGGTGTGTGCTGTGCCTTGTATTTAAAAAATAAAACCCTAGTGTAATTAGTACATATCACTTGTTGATATAACTAGAAGAATATTAAGGACAGATTTTCACAATAAATCTATATCATTCCGACATCCCTGCTCCTTTTGATATAAAACGCCACTTTACTGGAGAGAAGGTTGCGGTTTAAGTTTCTCCTACTTATCAGGCTTGGGAGCTTCTATTTGAGTTTTTATTTTATATCAGGTGCTTAGTCCTATTACTCCATTTGATTGCAGTAATAAATCTATAAGACATAAAGACAGAAGAATTATTATCTCATTTTGTAGATGGGGCGCTAAGGATCAGAAAGATCTAAAACCCAATTAGTAAATTGTAGAGCAGGAATTCATAGTTGTGTCTTTCTGGCTCCATCATCTCTCTGTACCATTTATGCAACCTTTTGGTGAGTTATATATAAATTCAGATGTCTGTATTCATTTTCCGTTTGCATCATTGTCTGCTTATGTGGCATGATTATTTAGGACAAAAAGAAAGATAAGAGGACGCATGTTAAACATATCACTTCTATCCAGAGATTCAGATATATATCTAGGACATCATTTTTGTATTTGGAGAGTTATTCAGGCTTTGCAAATGAAATAGGCAGGGATGTTCAGGAATAGCAACCAGATGCTTTCTTTGAAACTGTAGAGAGGAAAATAACCTCTCCACTAATACATATTGGGAGTTTGCTATGTGCCAGCCACATACATGCGTTATTTTATTTAATCCTCTAGGTGGTGTAAGAGTAGATGTGGAAAATGAGGTCCAAAGCATTTAAATAATATGCCCAAGGTCACATAGCCTGCAAGTGTACAGCTGGGGCTAGAGATGCCATCTGATTCCAGAGCTTGGGCTCTCAATCACTACACTACACTGCCAAGGAATGGCAGTTTAAGAGGTGGGAGTGGTGTGACATAGTAACCTAGAAAAAGAGAAGTTAGTTATTTGAACAACAGGACATTTTTGTTTTCTATCACCAAGAAGAAATATTAAAAAAAAAAGGATATACAGTCATGCGTCACTTAGTGAGGGAGACGCATCCCCAGAAAGGCATTGTTAGTTGATTTTGTAGTTGTGCAGACATCAGAGAGTGACTTACACAAACTCAGAGGGCATAGCCTACTACATACCTAGGCTACATGGTGTGGCCTGTTGCTCCTGGACTATACACCTGTATAGCATGTTCCCATACTGAATACTGTAGGTATTTGTAACACAGTGGTATTTGTGTATGTAAACATAAAAAAGTACAGTAAAAATACCGTGTTACAATGCCGTGGAACCATCATTGTATATACAGTATGTTGTTGATGGAAATGTTGTTATGTAGTACACGACTATACGTTTATCCATCCTCAAATGCTAATCTCCTGAGGAGAAATGAAAGTCACGTAGATTTACTTGATAACTTTTTATCAATCCAAGAAAGTTAGTTATGTGATTTCTAAATCACTCTTGTTGGGTACAGATGAACTAGGGGTTGTGAGAGTCAAAAAGGAAGGTTAAAGCAGCGGCAGAGAAAGGCTGGATGGGCTCGGCACATATTCAGCTTTGTCAAAGGGACTGTGAAGGATTTCAGTTCACTTTACATGCCAAGGTATCTGTGAGGACGGAGAGAGTGATGTCATGTGCTTTGGCAGGTTAACTGCATAACCTTCAGTGTAGTCAAGGGGCTTATCCTACTCTTTTTTTTTCTAGTTAAAGTGTCTCTAAAGTGTCTCCTTGGATTTGTGATTGACATCTTTCTGTCATCATGGCCAGACTCATAGA